CCTTCAATTCAATTTATTCATTTTGTTGTGTATTATATATCTCTCCTACTACTAGGACGGATTTACCAAGTCAAAACAGAAGTCAAATTCCCAAAACGCTTGGTGTCGGAAGAAAATCTCGCGACTTGAAGCTGTGTCAAAAAGTCAAACACCCAAACGCTGAAGTCGGAAAAAAAAAAAAAATGATACCAAATCCTTAAAAGATTTCTGATTCAACACAGAGACTACTCCGGCGATGGAGCTTCTACATCCCCACCACCCACCCCATCTCCACCGTTTATCTTCGCCGACGAGGTTTTCGTCACCGGAGACGGCGGAAGTTACCGGAATCCATGGACAAACTAGCTCTGAGAAACTATACATAGCCGTAGGGAAAAAGGTTGGCAAAGCTCTCAGCTTGCTCCAATGGAGTTTCAACCAATTCAGTGGATACGAAATTTGCTTGCTTCACATTCACAAACCTTCTCCTCTCATCCCAACACTCTGTATGTATATTCCCAAATCCCATTGATTTCTCTTCAAATTTGATTACTTTTCTCACACCAAAGACCAATTTGGTTCCTTTTCTCACTCCAATGTTTCTTCGTTAGGACAAAACTAATTTGAGTTTGAGATATGTTGTTTGGTTCTTACAGTGGGGAAATTACCGGCGAGTCAAGCAAACAGTGAGTCTGTGAATGCATACAGAGGAGAAGAGAGGCAAAAGATGAGGAAGCTACTAGATCTTTACTTGACAACTTGTGCTCGAGCCAAGGTACTTTATAAGCTATTGTTTATGCTTCAGGGGAGAGAAAGTTACTGTCTTTATTATAAAAGTTGTGTCTTTTGTTCTTGCAGGTGAAAGCAAGTGTACTTGTAATTGAATCTGAACTTGTACCTAGAGGAATTGTAGAATTAGTAAATAGACAGTGTATTAAGAAACTCGTGATGGGTGCTGTAACATCAAGGTTCGTATGCATACGCTCTTCTGTATTGGTCTTTGAGATTCTCTTTACTGGTTTGCATCATCTCTAGTGGTTTTCTTGCAGCTGCATAAAGATGAGGAGTTCTCGTAAAGTAGATTATGCTTCGAGAAAGGCACCTCCTTTTTGTGAAATATGGTTTGTTATCAAAGGGAAGCATGGATGGGTTAGAGAAGCTTCCGAAAGCCGAGAAGTTTCAAGTGATCGATCATTTCGCCTTAGTAAAAGTTATCTGTCTCTCGCCCTTGGAAATCTGCGGTCTAGTTCGAGTAGAAACTTGGTTTCAAGTGAGATATTCAGCAGAGTTGAGGCTGATGTGATTGATACTGAAGTTCCAATGCTCTTATCAAGCACTAAAAGTGGTGTCTGCGGTTCTGTATTCGTGTCTGAAGAGAGAAGGATACCGTCATTAGATTCTGATTCATATGAATCTGCACATGCCCGTCAAATAAAGCTCAGGGAAAATGCTGAAAGTGAACTAAAAAGAATCATAAACCAACAGGAGAAGCTTTTGGAGGAAAAAGCGGAGCTCTCTAGACGGCTACAAAGAACAACGAGAAACGTTGCTCTCTTGAACTGTCATACTCATGGAGCAAGTCGACGGTGTACTAAAGTATCAACAGAGCTAAAACTCGTGGAATTGTCTATCGCCGAGTTACGGCTTGAAAAACAGAAGATCCAAAGGCAGAATGTGGAAGCTAAGTGTTGGATAGAACGGTGGAAAAACGCAGGATCATTGAGTTGCAATGAGTTTGTTGGAATTTCCGGCGATGGTATGCCTGAGCTGGCTGAGTTTTCTTTGTCAGAACTCGAATCAGCCACGTTCTGTTTCTCGGAGAGTTTCAAGTTGGGACAAGGAGGGAACAACGGGTGTATCTACAAAGGAGAAATGATGGGAAGAACCGTTGCAATAAAGCGAATGCATCCACATAATATGAACTTGCAACAAGAATTTCAACAAGAAGTTCAGATTCTCAGCAAACTACAACATCCTCATCTCGTTACACTGTTTGGCTACTGTCCTGAAGCATGGTCACTTGTGTATGAGTACCTACCAAACGGTAATCTACAAGATCAGCTTTTCTGTAAAACCGATATATCTCCTTTGACTTGGGTGACTCGAACTCGGATTATAGCTGAAATCTCAAGTGCTCTCTGTTTCTTGCACTCCGTAAAACCTGAAAGGATAGTTCACAGCGATCTCAAACCCGAAAACATACTTCGTGACTCCAAACTCACTTCCAAAATATGCGATTTCGGAATCTGCAGGTTGGTATTTAACGAAGAGGCTAACGGAAGAGCTTTTCCATATACTGATCCAGAGTTAAATAGGTTTGGAGTCTTAACTCCCAAATCCGACATTTACTCGTTTGGCATTATCATCTTGCAAATGCTCACAGGAAAACCGCCTTTTGAGTTGGTCGGACAAATGCGAAAAGCCTTGTCCTCGGGGAAGTTAGCCTCAGTTTTGGATATAAAAGCTGGAGAATGGCCAACTTTTGTGGCCGGTCAGCTTGCAAACATCGGGTTACGGTGCTGTGAACCGAACAGCAAAGACCGGCCTGAGCTAACACCGTCTCTTGTGAGGGAATTGGAGCAGTTGCATGCTCCAAAAGAACGAGCTGTGCCATCTTTCTACTTGTGCCCCATCCTTCAGGTAAATTGATACATTATTATCAATACTTTCACCGAATAGAGAAAAGTGTCCAAATTCTATGGATTGGCTTTATGTTTGGTAATACAAAACCGAGGCTTTTCTTGTTTTGCTTTGCAGGAGATAATGTATGATCCACAAATTGCAGAAGATGGATTCACATACGAAGGAGAAGCGATACGATCATGGTTGAGAAACGGGCACGAGACCTCACCGATGACTAATCTGAAGCTAAGTAGTCTGTATCTCACGCCTAACCACGGTTTACGCCTTGCAATTCAAGATTGGCTCTGCAAATCTTGAAAAAATTGGTACATATAAACATTTAACTTTTGTATATCTCTAATGTACTGTCTATGAAGGTTGTATGTATAAATGAGAAACCAAACAAAAACAAGTTGTTAATACAATATAGACAAATCACTAATCTTGAACGTTGAGTGGATCACGCGTTCGATTGATTAGAAGTTTTGTACGGTGGTTTTAATTGATTGTTGATGTTGACCCAACGCCACTAAAATGGACTGTTTCTTCTTATAAAACGAAAGTAAACTGTAGTATTCAACATTCGTTAGAAACTCTTTTGAACAGAAGATTTATAATTTTAAAAAATTCGTGGAAGTAGTCAAAATGTAGACAGTCAAAAAGCCAAAACCATAAAAAGGAGTAGAAACTAAAAATAGACAGCTAATGAAATGTTTAAAACAGAAAAAAGTTTGGTCTTACATTGTGAAAAGGAAATGTGGGGACTTGAGGTAAGTAAAGAACAAAGGTAAGAATATAAAGAATTAAAGACAAGAAGTTACATAAAACATAAAAATCCAAATTTAAATAAATCCCCAAGTTCCCTGAAATAGAAGAAACAGTACAGAAAAACAAAGAGAGGCCAAAGAATTTGGTGAAAACAAAACAAAAAAACAGAGAGATAACAAAAAAATGAAATAAATGTTAGGGAAAGTGAATAACTTCTATGAACCACTACTGATACTTGATACCAATTACCAAACTTCTTTCAATTCTTTCATTTACTTCTCTATTGATATACAGTTAGAAGTTGGAAGAAACTTATACATTCAAAGAACCAAACATTTGACCACTAATTTAATACACTAGATTTATGAGTTGCCAAAAC